GCCCGCAACCAAGGTACATGCCCTTGACCGGAATCGAACCCGGGACCCTTCAGTCCACAGGCCGACGCTCTATCCACTGAGCCAAACCGGTTTCGGCTCTTTAGCTTCTTTTTAAAAAACAAAACAAAACACGTAAGCATTTAATTTTCTAAGTTGTGATGAAGCAAGAAATGCTTCAAAGTGCTTTAGTGAGATTATGAGGTGCTGATGGAAGTGTAAATTGGGTCAGGTGCTGACCATGTTCATTTTTAATCTGTATAGATTCTCTTGGAAGGGCCCGGCACGTTGAAGTTTAGTAATTTCTGCCTGGCAAAAGTGGAAGGTGAAAATTTGGAAGACTTCTTTGCTTTGATGGCAACAGAAGAAGGAGGAGGTGATAGTGGGGAACATGTACTGAAGAAAAATATGAAAAGTAGAACCCGAGGTACGTGGAGAGCTTTTAGATCCTAACGCTCGTTGTGGGCCACCCAGGTCACGTTAGCGGATGATGTTGACGTTTTATTTTGCTAGTCAAATAATGGATGCAAAATAACAATGACGAGGAGAAGTCCGGATACAGGGATGGCTTTGTCGACGGCCTAAGCTTTTCCATGAGGATCGAATGCTGTGTAGGCACCGGAACCCCTGATAGCCCGGATCTCATCCTGACCTCTGTATGTCCCTGACCACACGTCAGAACATCAGCAGCAGGGGTTTTGCCTCACTCCTGGCCGTATCCTCTGCACTTGGCACAGTGCCTGGCACACGCTACTGGCTCCGTAGTTATTTGTTTCACATGCTTGAGCAGCTGATACTTGCAATTAAGGAAGACTTTTAGGGGTTCACTCTTGGGCGGTGGTTTTGACAGTGAGCTGCGTCCTGGGGTGTTAGCTGTAGTTGAGCCAGTGTGCAGTGCTGGGTGCTGTCTGTGCCTCGATGACTGAGGGGGTGTCTGGGGGCGGAGCCTCCGTCAGCCCCGGTCTTTGAGTGTCTGAGCATCAGCCCTCGGCTGACCTGGGCCGCACTGTGGTTTGCACGATAAATAAGCTTTGCTGTAAATCCCGGGGGAATGTGGGGTGTTACTGCTGCGTAACTTAACACATCCTGTCCAAGATATTCTAACCAGAGCTGCTTTTCTTTGGACTATTTAAATTGTTAATTTCAAAGAGGATAAATATGCCTATATGTGCCACGCCTCTGACTGAGCTGGGTTTTTGAAATAACTCTGTTTATATTTTGACATATCCTGGTAAAATGGAACCTTACCATTAGGAAACATTAAACCGTGTGAAATGCACATGAAGTTATGTGCACGTGCATATTCTCCTCATTTTTACCTCGTCGGGTCTCTCCCAGGTGGGTTTGTGGTGAGAACAATACAAACTCCTAAGGAAGCTGCTGTTTGTACTTTGTGTTTAGGATCGCTTGCTTACACAGCACCCGAAATTGTGAAGGGCACCGACTTCTCCGTCGCCAGCGACCTCTGGTCTTTGGGCTGTCTGCTGTATGAGATGTTCTCAGGTGATTACTTTCTGCTTCATTTTCAAGTTAACAGCTGGATAAACACAAAGGTGAAATCTGTAGTTTGTAAACATTTTACCTCTAAGATGTGAAAAGGCTGCTTATTATTTTAACTTAATTTTTTAAAAATATATTTTTTATTGATTTCAGAGAGGAAGGGAGAGAGAGAATCATTGATTGGCTGCCTCCTGTACGTCCCCCGCTGGGCATGTGCCCTGACTGAGAATTGAACCGTGACCTCCTGGTTCATAGGTCGCTGCTCAACTACTGAGCCACACCAGCCGGGCAAAGGCTGGTTTTTCTAATTTCTGTCTATATGATTTTGGCTGGAGTACTTGGAGTCTAGGCACATTCAGGTCCTTAGGACCTTTTTGACCGATAGGTATTTTTCGTGATGATCTGGAATGTTGAAATGTGCCTAGCTATTAAAGAGCTGTGCTTATTAGTAGAAATTCTTGTAAAGGTACCTGTGACTGAATTATTCCCAAGTGTCCAGTAGCCCACGTAAACCATGGGTCCTGGTAGGTTCCATATGTGAATTTGTATATTGGTTGGGGTGACAGATTTTGAATTATAGAAATATAAAAATACATAGTGTGCCTGGTGTATACTAGACATTCAGTAATTAGTTATCGCTATATATGCATTTGTAAATTGTGTAATGCTGAACTATCTGCAGTTGGGTTGTTTTTTTTTTTAGAATTATTGGTGATGACAGACGTATTTAATTGACAAGTTTTCATGTAATTTCAGGAAAACCTCCATTCTTCTCAGAAAGTGTTTCAGAAGTAATTGAAAAGATTATTCATAAAGATCCTTCGCCACCTATTCCAAAAGGTAGGATTTTTGTTATAAATGCAGTTAATTTACACTTTACACTGACTACAGGTGCACTTTTGTTGTCTATTTTTATTGATTCATAACTTCCCAATTTACATTTTATAAATGTTCCCTAATTGTTATTTTTAGAAATGTTAGCGTTCCCTTTGCCATTTTTTTTTTTTAGATACTTAAATGGAAAAGTAGTAGTTTCCCTCATTTAAAATCACGAATTACTTTGCCCTCCTATATCAAGAGATGTCTGGCTTACAGATTGAGAAGTCAGACTTTTATTTATTATTTTGTCTCTGTGTCGTTTACCTAATTTGGACTCACGTCCTTTGTAGTTATGCCTGGTTAGTGTTTGCATAGTAACGAATTGGGCGTTCTCAGCCCTGGTCTTGATCAGAATGCTGCCCTGACAAGTTGTTAGAGCCTTTGGAAGGAGAGATAGTGTAGTATTTTAAGTGTCAGGATTTTAATCACACAAATTATGGTTAATATAACCATCTACTGTTAACAACTTTAAGGAAAGGAAAGAAAAACAAAAGCAGATACAAACGTAATAAAGCACTTTGCTCTACACCACAAGAAAAGTGAATCTTAAGCCACATAAACGAAAACGGAACTTTACAAAAAATAATAGTGGGAGTTTTTTTTTTTTTAATATATTTTATTGATTTTTTACAGAGAGGAAGGGAGAGAGATAGAGAGCTAGAAACATCGATGAGAGAGAAACATCAATCAGCTGCCTCCTGCACATCTCCTACTAGGGATGTGCCCGCAACTCAGGTACATGCCCTTGACCGGACTCGAACCTGGGACCTTTCAGTCAGAAGGCGGACGCTCTATCCACTGAGCCAAACCGGTTTAGGCTATAGTGGGAGTTTTTAAGAGAAAAAAAAAATCGGAAGTCATTCATGGAAGAAATAGGAATACAGGATATTTTCAATTTTTCAAGAATCACCCCAGGTGAAAAAAACAAAACTCTTGATATTTTGAAAATAATCTGTATTTCTTAAAACAAAATGATGTATTTTTTCCCTTTCATTAACGTAGTCTTATTTTTTGTAGAAATCAGTCATTCGTATTTCTCCTGATGACTTTTCAATACAATATTGATTATTGTTTTCTCCTATAAGTTAAAGGTTTTTATGCAGGGAAGAAACCTGGAAATGAGGTGCCAAAGGTCTGGTCAGGGTACCACTGGTGGCCCAAGCTCGCTATCTCACAGTCCTTCATCACACGGTGGCCAGAGTGCCTGACAGTGCCTGGCCATGTCTTGGGCCATTGTCTTCATGGCTTCTCATTTTAGCCATGACTGATAATTGGGCCATGGTGTGTGTGTATCTGTAATTTAAAAAGGCAAAGTTTGGAGATTAAGACAATTGGACAATATCATAATGTGATGCTTATTATTTTTCCTGCTAAAAATAAAAGGAATTACAAGTATTCTAATCATAGTATATTACAGCAAAGTTGGTCAAATTAATAATAATGCCTCAGAAAATGGGGCATAATTACTAGTGGGAGACAAGGTTATGAGTTTGTTAGGCCAGTAATCCTTACTGGGGTTAGACAATCAAGTAATTTTAGAAGTTGGTCGAAACTTAGTTTTCTGTAGTATAGGGAAAAGATATTAAAAAAAATTGTGCCCCTCTCCCCTCTATGTAAATGGAAGCTTAATTGTTATTAATAGACTGAGTGTTCTCTTTAAAAGAATTTATGTGCTTAAAGTTCCATGACTTTAAATGTTGATATAGGGTACGTATTCATCTCCTTATCACTTTTTTTTTCATTTTTGGGACTTAATTTGTGTGCAGATTCTTCTCTTCCTAAAGCGTCTCCAGATTTTGTGAATTTGCTGGATGGTTTGCTTCAAAAGGATCCACAGAAAAGGTCTGCGTGGATGGTATTGTAATATGAACGATGAGCGGGATCTGTTTTTTTCTTTCATGCACTTCTGGAATGGCACTGTTCTTCATACACACAGAGGGGTTCAAACTACTTTTTACAAAAGGAAATCTGAGTTGACACTCAGGGTTTTTCTTTGCCCGTGTTTTTAATGATGAGGAATTTTAAGTCATTTTCTCCTTTAATGTATTCAATAGTTGCCTAATACCTTGATGGATTTTCTTGTAACTCCTGAATTCCAGCAGCTTAGTTCTTTCCATTGGAGACTTCAGGCTAAAGCTCCCTTTGACTGTTGGACTAGGGAGGGTACTGTCGAGATGGCTGATGTAATAACACTAACTGGGTGGTATTTTAATGCGATATATTTTTATGATACTCCCGTCATCATGGAGACATCAAGTGACAGGAAAATTGCACAGTGTGACATTTCTGTGTTGCAGCGTGGGGAGGGGGTTTCCCTGGCCTGGGGGTCAAGAGCAGTTGGTTCCTAGTTCGGGTTCTGCCACTAGGTAACTGCAGGAAAAGGGAGTGGGGACACCGTTGTGAAGCAAGTATTTGGGTCTCTGCCTCAGTGTAAAATAATGAGAATATTTCACATAGCAAATAAAACACTCCGTTCTCCATCTTCGTTAAATGTAAGAGAGAACTTGCAGAAGGAAAAGCTGTTCTTGTATAAGTTTTAGGACAAACCTCCCATGCTTATAATAGAATGCCTTTAGGATTAGTGTTATTTTGGTTGGTAATCTTCCAGACATCTTTTGATAGGCTTAAGGATACTTTATTTAGGATGATATACCTACATTTCTACCTATTTATATCTCTATATTGTATGCTTTTTTTTTTTTTTGCACAAATGAGACCACCAGACCAGCTACTTTTTTCTCTCTCTGTTTGCTTAGTCATTTTTTTCTTTTTTAAATATATATTTTATTGATTTCAGAGAGGAAAGGAGAGGGGAGAGAGAGAGAGAAACATCAGTGATGAGAGAGAATCATTGATTGGCTGCCTCCTGCACGCCCCCTACTGGGGATCAAGTCTGCAATCTGGGCATGTGCTCTGACCTGGAATCAAACCATGACCTTCTGATTCATAGGTCGACGCTCAACCACTGAGCCACGCCGGCCGGGTTATATCTACTTAGTCACTTTGACTGGCTGCAGTGTATACATGATAACCTATAATAGCAATAAACACTGAGTGTGTCTTGATTGAGAATACCATACACACTGCTACAGGAAATAGCCTTTGAGTATGTTTTGTTATTCACTTGGGCAGTTATCCCTTTTGGATAAATGCTGGCCAAACGCGAAGAGCATTTAAAAGTGTGATACGTTTGCTGCATTTGGGGAACATGTTCGAAATGGTTTCCACGTTCAGCAACGCTAGGAAGCTCTTTCCCCACCAGTTACCTGCCAAGGGCTTTGCTGATCTTACATGTTTTTGCCAATCTTATGAATGGAAAAGAAATTCCATTTTACTGGCAATTTTATTTCTCCATGAGTGAATTTTAAGAGCCCTTGTATATATAGTTGTAAATTCTTCTTTTTTATCATTAGAGTTTTAATTTTGATTAAAGTAGTTTTCACTTCAATTCAGAAATGTTGAACGATTAAATTAATTAAATATAAGCTATTTTCTTCTTTTGTTTTAAAATTTCAGTCAGGTTTAACCTTTTTTGAATCTGATGAGTATACCTGGAGGTATAATAATCTATTAGTAGTAAAACGTAATGCTTTGAGAGTGAGTCTGGGTTGTAGATAGAGCCAAAAGTCACTTTCATGTGGGTGACAACAGTTAATGTAGCTAGACAACATTTTGGCACCTAAATAGAGATGTGACTGTATATAGTCATGAAGTTGATATTCTTGTTTATTTCTGAATGAAGTTATAGGATTGAAGTCCCACAAATGAAATGTGTAAAACAGGCAGGGTGCCCTAGAATAATCAAGCCTGTCTTGGAGCAGAATTATAGGTTGATAATATGTGATCTATTTGCTTTACATTTTTAAATTAATTGATAGATTTCTTCATTGAGAACCCAAAATGTTTTCATCAGGCTTCCTGGATATGAACCCTGAGACTTTCAATACTTAGTTGTCAGACCCTTTCATTCTGCACCATGTGAGGCCTCTGAATTATTTCTGAATTATCGGTTGCTGTTTGAGAGGTCAGTTGCGTACTGGAATGAAAGAGTAAAGTATCGCACGATCTCAGAGGTGCATTTACATGGAGATATTTATAAATGATAAGATCTGATTCCTGTAACTGGGACATGTCCTGTGACTTTCCCCTGGGAATCATGTTAACAGAATTTTAACGTTTGTGTTTTATACAGATTAACTTGGGCAGGCCTGCTGCGGCATCCATTTTGGAAGGATGCTTTTACTAGAAGAGATCAGGACTCGAGCACCGAGGACTCCAGCGTCAGGTAGGATCAGCTTATCTTTGTGTGGGGGGCATGGCTGCCAAACACTCCTACGCATTAGTGTTCTAATGACGCAGCATCAATGACAAGAATTTCTGTGCTTTCCTAGTAGAAAAATCAAGCGTTTGTTCAAGGGTTGTTGAAAGAGTTTCGTCATGACATTTTTGTGTTCTTGATTTTGCGGGTTTTCCGATCAGTCGTTTCAACTCGAGTCGTTGATTTAGTATGGTAGTTATCAGTTCTGTTTACCAGCTACAAGTGGCTTCCCATCTTGCAAGCATGGGGTAGGGTCTCATTGCCCCCTTTTCAGTTCGGTGCAGTCACATGACTTGCTCTGGCTAATGGAATGTGAGCAGAAGTGACGTGTGTTATTTCTGGATAGAAACTTGAAAGCCAGTGTGTGATCTGCTGCACTTCTCCTGGTGAGTTCATTGGGAAGAAAACTGTCACAATGGAGTTGCTGTCAGGCTGGGCCTTTAGTGCCCTCGATGAGCATATATTTCCCACCAGCCTGCATGTCTGTGCCTGAGGAAGATAAACAGTTACAAGATTCTGAGCCACTGGCGTTTGAGGGGTTGTATGTCACCACAGCATAACCGAGCTCTCTTTAGTGCCCTCGATGAGCATATCTTTCCCAGCAGAGCCTGCATGTCTGTGCCTGAGGAAGATACACAGTTACAAGATTCTGAGCCACTGGCATTTGAGGGGTTGTATGTCACCACAGCATAACCGAGCTCATCTTGACTAATATACTTTGTTTTTATTATAAAAATCTTCTTAGCCCAGGACCCTTACAAAATTGATGGTATTTGGAAAAGAACAGGTGAGAAGTAGCTGAATAAAAGTTCTGATAATTGACTTTTTCCCCTCCTTACCTCATTGTGATAAATGGTTGTCTGATCCTTAATTTTAATCTTGGCAAGTTCATTGTCTTGGATCGAGGAGTCTGAATTCTATTTGAAGTCTTTCCCAAACTTGAGTTTCTCTGAGCCAGTGAGCTTCAGTTATGCTTTCACTATTGTATTAGGTGCTACAGAGAACTGGGCGCTGGTCTGCAGTGTCAGCAAGTCACAGAATATCTCCGACCTTAGTTTGTTATCTTCCTTTTTAACCTCCTTGCCTTTTATTTCTTTTTTCTGCCTTATTGCCCTTGCTGGGACTTTTTTCCAGTAAGATACTGAATCAGGAGTGATGAAAACGAACATCCTTGCCTGGTTTCTGCTTGTAGGATGAAAGCGCCTTTCCCCATTAAGAACGATGAGGTGGAGGTTTCTGTCGCTGCCCTTTGTCAGTTTGAATGAACACTGAATTTTATTGAATGCCTTTATGTATTGGGTAATGTGATCATGTGGTTTTTCTTCTTTAGATTCTCATTATGGACTCTTTCATAAATTGGCTTTCAAATATTGAACCAGCCTTGCATTCCCACAATAAAGTTATTGTGTGTGACAGTTTTTGTCTTGCTGGATGTGTTTGTGGCCTAGTGGCGGGAGGACAGTGAGAGAGGTTGAGAAAGAGAGTGGAGCCCCAGGGGTTTGCCCCACATTCTTGAGACCGTAGCTTTTTGGTTAGAGAAGAGGATGACCCCCTCTGTGAGTGTTAGGCACTGGCCAGAATCTGCTGCTGTTCCCAGCCCCCTGCTTCAGGGTTACCTGGGGGCCGGGGCAGGACAGAACGGAAGAAGAAAAGGAACACCTAGGGGATTTCCCTGCCCTGACCCAAGAGGTCCCTTTCCTGTCCTTGGAACAGAAACAGAGGGCTTCTGACAGGCTTCCTCTGTCTCCTCGCTGCCTTCGAGCCCAGGCTGGGCAGCACCGGGAGGGGAAACTCTAGGGAGACTCATGTTGGGTCACGGCTACGTTGAGTTCTGGTTTCCGTCCCCAATCTGCCAGCTGCTATTTATTTTTCTGGGAGAAGGCGTAGAGACTTCTTCACACACTGTCCTGCTCGTAGCGGTGCTCATGGTCACTGCTCGATGAAAAATACTGCTTTTCTCCATGGCTTTGCCAAATGTCACATGTAATTTAGTTATCATTTCCACCCTCTTGTTCGACACAGAAAGCTGTGTAGAAAGCTCACAAGTAAGTTTGATTGTGTTGACTTTCTCCTGTTGAGCAGCAGAAACATGATGGAATGTTCCGGGTCACAAGATGCCAAGGAGCTTGTGAGGAGCCCTCCGAGCGGACAGGCCAGAGGGGAGAGGAGTGGTCAGCGGCCGAGTCGCTCTTGGAGACTAGGTGGGCTTCCATCCGAGCACGTGTGTGCTGCCCAGAATGCCGTGTCGGAGAGTTCCCTCCGCATTCGTGCTGTCTGTCTCTCCCAGTCCCTGTCTGCGGGTGCCCCGCTCATGGTACCTGTTCCTTCATGGCTAACGTTCTCCTTTCCTGCCACAGAAGATCCAGCTGAGCTGCGGCCTAAGAATACTCTCGGGGGTCAACTGAACGAGTCCATGTTCCTTCTCAGGTGGGTGAAGTGACAGAGCAGTGAGGGGTCCCCGGCCGGGGGATGAAAGTACATCTTATTACAGCATCTGTTGTCCTGGATTTTAAAAAAGCTTTGTATACTCCCGGGCATTTCCTGTGAGCTAAGTCAGTACTTGTTTAATGAATGAACAAACAGATAAGTAAGTGAAAGAGAAATGGGAATCCTGATATTTGGGAATTTGAAGGAGTTTACTAAAGAAGACCCTGGTGATCTAAGTGAATTTCTTAAAATGTGAAAAACTGAAAATCAGAGACTGGGGGTGGGGGTGGGGCGGGGAATGGAGTGGCCCATCAGGGGCACGGAGGCCATTGACAGGTGTGGGCGGAGTCATTACAAGTAGATGTGGGTTTATAGCACTCCTCAGCAGGCACCAAGAAACCTTTCCATATTGAACATCATCTGAAATAAAATTGTGAATATTCATCCTTTGTGGAATATCTGATGTATTTTGTTACGTTAATCCTGCTCACACCAGCAGACATTTAAAGAATAATAAAATCATTGTTGTAAGGTTTCCAGTGAAAACAGAAAATACTGCGTGGAGCATAGAAGCTGTAAACAAAAAAAACACACAAAAAATTAGCCAGGGAATTACTTTAAAAAGTTATAAAAATAATAGTCATGTAAACACAGATAAGATTAAATGTTTTTTTATATGATGAGATCACAGAGAATTAACGTATTCTGCCCTTTTTCAGGAGACCTGTTTTTATTTTCTCCAGCATATAGTAAGCGGAGGGTAAAGTTTCTGACGTGTGAGTAATGGTCACTGGTGTGTGTGTTTCAGTTCTCGTCCTACGCCGCGAACCAGCACTGCCGTGGGGTCAAGTCCTGGTGTGGATGTGACCCAGAGTTCACCGCAGAAGGCGCCTCCTTTGACCAAGGTGAACAGCGATGGATTGTTTTTTGTTTTTTGTGTGTTTTACATGAGATATAGAGATTCTAAAGAATAATTGCAAGTTGGTTCCCAAACTATGTTGGTGATTACAAAATTTACAATTAAGTCATTGCCTTATCATTGGTTTTTCTAGTAAGCACACTTAAGAGAGAGGTGCTTTATACTTTTTTAAAAATATATTTTTTAATTGATTTCAGAGAGGAAGAGGGGGAAAGAGATAGAAACATCCATGATGAGAGAGAATCATTGATCAGCTGCCTTCCGCAAGCCCCCCACTGGGGAACGAGCCTACAATCTGGGCATGTGCCCTTGACCAGAATCGAACCTGGGACCGTTCAGTTCACAGGCCAACACTCTATCCACTGAGCCAAACCCGCTAGGGCATATAGGTTTTTTTTTTTTTAAAATACAGCTTCATTGAGCTATCATTGATGTACCACGTAATTCACCCATTTAATTCACCCATATGAAGATCAAATGATAATCCCTGTCAAAGTGTTTTGAGTATCAGTTGAGGTACATTAGAGATGACCTTGCTCAGCATCTTATTAGTTCAGTCTTTCAAAGCTCTTCATTAGGCACAGAAACAGTCTAATTTTTGTTGTTGTTTCAGACCACAGTTGGGCACTTGAGCCAGCAGGACATGGAATCCCAGATGAGGGAGCTCATCTACACAGACGCAGAACTCGTCGTCACGCCGATTATTGACAATCCCAAGGTGCGGAGAACACCCCACCCCCCGAGGGCTGGGTTTTCCATTTCACTGAGGACTGAAGTCTGGGTGATGTTTTCATTTCTGTTCCTCTTGTCGTCCGCTTGGATTTCGTTCGAACCACACACATGTCCACACGCCTAACTCCCGCCCTGTCTGTAACCCTCTCTCCTTCCTGCCTGGGCGGTGTCAGACCTGAGTCCTCGAGGCCTTCCTTTCTCAGCACGTGCTTAACGTGGATCACTCCAGATGTTCTAGTTCAGCGGTTCTCAACCTGTGGATCGAGACCCCTTTGGCGGTCGAACGACCCTTTCACAGGGGTCGCCTAAGACCATCCTGCATATCAGATATTTACATGACGATTCATAACAGCAACATTACAGTTATGAAGTAGCAATGAAAATAATTTTATGGTTGGGTCACAACATGAGGAACTATTTAAAGGGCCAGAAGGTTGAGAACCACTGTTCTAGTTGATGGTGTTACGAAGGCAGATGGCAGTGAGCACCGCTCACCAGGCGTGGCTGGGTGGGCCGATCACAGAGACCACGCCCTCTCATAGGCTATCAGACGCAGGTGGGCGGTGGCAGACCCTGGGAGCTGGGGGACTCTGGGTTCACTTCTACCCCAGGGGAATCCTGTCGCTTCCTGTCCTTTGGAAAGCAATGCTCTGTTACTAGGGATGAGTGCCTTCCTTGAAAAAATGTCATTTCTCAGTCCCTTTGTTTTCTGTTGACGCCCAGTCTCCAACACATTCCTCCACTATCTATTCTGTATGTGAATTTTTTAAACTGTCTTTTTCTGTGTAAATTTGTGACCGTTTCCTCTCATCTCATCTTCCTCTCATCTTCAGGGAACATTGCTCTGGTTTAGAGTAAATGGGTTGTTGGATGTGTGCGTATTTGCTACAAAGACAGCATTTAATATAGATCACCCAGCGATTTTCACAACAGAGCGACTTCTTTTTATGAGTTTAGATACCTGGCAGAATAACTGGATATTACATGAAATTTAATGGGCAATGGGGCGTTTTCCCAGTGGACCTTCTAGAACAATTTGTGAATTTTTTAAAACCATATTCTCTCTATTTTTTTATTTCATCTTATAGCCACGTTTGGTTGTTTCTGGGAAATGTTAGCTGTTTTTTAAACATTATTACTATAGGCTTTTATTTTGAACTGATTTTAGACTTCTAGAAAAACGTTAGACAATATTAGCGTTCCTCCCTATATACCTTTTCCCCAGTTTCTCCTAATGTGAACATCCTGCAGGACCGCAGGTGGTTAGCAGACCCAGGGGATTAACGTTAGCACGGTGCGAATTTTGCCAGCTGTGACCCTGATGCCCCTTTTCTGTTCCTGGACCCACATTTCAGTTTATGTCTCCTTGCTCTCCTACGGGCGGTCCTTGTCTTTCCCGGCCCTTTGGTCATTTCCTGACCTCTGCTGTTCTTCATGACCTTGACACTTGGAAGTGGTCAGGTGTTTTGTAGAATGTCCCTCCACTTAGGTTTGTCGAAGGCTTTCTCTTGATAAGAATGAGGTTGTCTATTTCTGGCAAGAATACTACCAGCCAAGGCCTTAAAAACGCACTATGGATTTTGGAGAAGTGAGACATAGAAAGGTGATGGTTGAATATTTAATTAAAAGCCTCAAGAGGAAGGACTCCAGCTGCTCCAGACTCATGCGCTTTCCTATTGAGGTGTCACAGCTTCCTGGAGCGATGTGGTCTTGAATTCAGCCTTCAAGTCATGGCCATTCCTATGACCTCAGTCCACCTCCTACCTCCTCTTCATAAACCCTGTCCTGGCCACATCAGCCAGAAGGGCTTGCTGCCTTCTCTAATGCTTAAAAACACTCCTCTCGTGAGATGTTTTGTCTGATTATGTCCTGCCTGTTCTGCACTGTTACTTCAGTTTTTTTGTTGTTTAACAAATGTCTGTGTTGTTACCCGAGTGGCAGCTCTCTGACAACAGGATCATGTCTTCTGTATGTGTGTGTGTCCCCCTAACACTGAGCATGGGACCTGGCAGGTCCCCAGCACGTGTTTTGTTCAGTGACCAAATTTCTCACCTAGAGGTAAATTAGCTTACAAGTAAGCCGCAGTAGGGCATCTCTTTTATGAAGCTTAATTTTGCTGCAAATATCAATGGAAATGATCTTATTTTTATAAATCATCATCCATATTTGTATATTTTAATCCGAAAGGGCACTGTTGAATTCTTATAGGTGACAAATTTTACAGCATTCCTTTCTGTCCTCACTAATTTATAATCTGATCTAGGCGATAAATCAGGAGCCAATGTCTGTCTCAAAAGGTGTTTTTTTTTCTTTTTTAAACCACAGATCATGAAACAACCACCAATTAAATTTGATCCAAAAGTATTGCATCTACCAGCATATTCAGGTAGGCTCATAAAGGTTTAGACACTTTGCAGACAGACATTTAACAGCACATGGAATATTTTATTCACAGATAGCTAAATTTCTATTTTCTTGCCAACTGGTTGTCCTCTTGGCAGTGCTATGCAAATTGTAAACAACCTGTAATCCATTTGTGCCAGCTTTTGCCCATACTCAGCTGAGTCTGGGCTGCCCTGTGCTCTTGTGGGTGGGAGAGTTCCTGAAAAGCTGGGTGGGTTTTCCTGTTACGTGGGTGGGCCCTTCTCCTGCCCTTCCCCTGGTAGAGCCCATTGAATTTCCAACATTTGTGGTGTTATTGTGGGTGTGGAGGGTTGGAGGCCACAATGAAGAATTGAGAGTCTACTCAAGGAAGCCAGGGCAGTTGAGAATGGGACCAGATGGTTCACTTTTGTGGGGATGGTGTGGGAATGGATGTTGGGGTCCAGCCCCAGCAGGTCCAGGGGTTCCCAAAGGTGTGGATGGAGTCGGCGAAGAAGGGCGACTGTGTCAAGCAGCAAGGATGGACTGGCTTCCGGCAAATGGAGATACTTAAAAGAAGATTGTTATGTTTCCTTTCACCTACTGGAAAGTCTGATTTAGGGTGAACGTCAGAAATTAAAAAAATAAAAAGAAATTTAGAGAGATGTCATCAATCCATTGCCTCCTGCGCACCCCCTACCAGGGATTGAGCCAGCAACCCAGGCATGTGTCCTGACTGGGACTAGAACCAGCAACCTTTCGGTGCATGGGATAATGCCCAACCAACTGAGCCACACTGGCCAGGGCAGAAATGTTTTTATACCATAAATTTGGGTGTATTGTATTTGATAAAGCTATTGAACCAGATTTGAAAAACTTCATCATCATGGCTAGAGTAGAATCTCTGATTTGAAATAAAATCAAAGTAAATTAAAAACATAAAATATAGGCAAATTTAAATAAGCCATGCCAAATAGAACCACTATTGATGAAAACGTAGAGGATTACTATAAAATAATATTCCTTCCCCTTTGCCCTTTACTTTGAGTTATTCTGGGAAACGGCTGTTGCAGTTTATCTTGTTTGAAGGTGGAGATCTGCTCAGCCCTGTTAACTGGGGATGGCATCTCTTTCCTCGTTTCGGCCTGTGTTTGTGTAGGGATGTGGAGGCAGGATCCCAGGTGACTTCAGCTTTCGTATTCACCTTGTGATGTTGAATAGTAATTTCATTGGAACCTTTTAACAACTGTAAAATCTTTGGCTTTTCCAATATTCTAAGGCTAGATTGCTTTATTTACAGAAAGACTTGTTTTTTTTCATAATACAATGTTATTTAACTTGGCGTTTTGTATTATTCTCATTTGCAGGATAATTCTCCTTGAGGCATCTCTCTTTTTTTTTTTTCCCCATCATAGTTATAAAAGTCTCTAGTGGAAGAAAGTGAAATGAGTATAAAAGAGTAAATGAGAACAGTGTCAGCTTTGGAGTAGTTTGGATTTTGATGTTGTGAAGTCACGACTTTTTCGCTCTCAGCTTTTGAAGTCCTGTTCCATTCCATTTCTCCCGAGATATCTTCTCGGTGCTTTTTCACGAGACCCACTTTCAGTATTTCCTTTCCTCTGCAGTGGACAGGTTAGTGTCCCTGAAAGACCAGGATTGGAACGACTTTCTGCAACAGGTGTGCTCACAGATCGACTGCCCCGAGAAGACCATGGGCGCCTCCCGGGCCAAGCTGAACCTCCTGTGCTACCTGTGCGTGGCGGCCGGCCAGAGGGAGGTGGCCACCCGGCTCCTGCATTCCCCCCTGGTAGGTGGTTACGTTGTGACAGCAAGACCCCTCGCACGGTCCTTGCAGCATGCCTTCTGCATGTCACTCGTGTATCTATAGAGATTGAAACAAGAGCTAAATTATTCCAATTACAATGAAAAGGGGATTTATCAAGATCATAGGTTTGTCAAAACTCCTCTGTTTCATCCTGAAGTCTAAGAGCAGTTGCATAGACAGTGATTTTGAACTTGTTTTGCTCATACTCTGGCTTGCATTTTATGTTGACTTGTAATAATTGTGTGACATTTTTCACATCTGAAATCATAGGACAGAGATCAGTCTGTGGAATGAGCTGCCCCTGTGGACTAGAGGGTCCTTTATTGGGCCACCTGGTAAACCCCAAGGTTTCTGATCCGACAGTGAAGGGTGGCATTGAGTCCTAAGACTTTCCTCCTGGTCATGCTGTTTGTCGGGCTGGCTTGGTTCATGGGGGAGGCCCTAGGAGTTGGGCAGAGCTTTGGAAGTCACCCCAGGAGGAAGTTACAATGTCTGGGCTTTATCCACAGTGGGGCCTCATTGGGAACTGGCTTGAAAATTAAGTCATTTGCTTTCAGGATACAGTGGGGCCTTGACTTACGAGTTTAATTCGTTCCGTGACGGAGCTCATAACTCAAATTACTCGTATGTCAAATCAATTTTGAACGAGTGAGACACGTGATGCTGGGCTGATGTTGTGGTGTTCACTGTGACGTTCGCTGCGCCAACTAGCGGTGGGGTATCTGAAGCTGGCTCGTAACCCGAATTTTAGCTCGCAACTCAAAGCAAAAAATCGGCCGAGAGACGGCTCGTATCTCGAAAAACTCGTTAGTCGGGACACTCGTAAGTCAAGGCCCCACTGTAGTTTTAAGGTTACTTTTTTGGTACTTGGTGTGTGTTTATGGCACATTTAGGGAATATAAGTGGGTATGAGAAACTGAAAGTAGTGTTTAGTTTTTATTTTTAGCTTATTCATATCCTCAGTGCTTTTGCTTTTTTTGTGAATAATTAACTTCTTAGTGCGGGATTCCCATCTCAGTTGTATGCAGTCTGGTTTTTTAACCGCGCAGTCACTTTCTATGTGGTTTCATGAATGAAATGTATGTCTTCATTTTTATCCTAGTTCCACTTGCTAATCCAGCATTTACGAATGGCTCCAAACTGGGATATGTAAGTAACATTTATATCTTATTAACTTATTCTTCATTATTTTATTCAGTAGTACAGCATACATGTTTATCAAAAGCACGTCGTCCTAAATACTTAATCATAAAACATTCTCAGTGATGATGACTGAATCACCGGCAGTTTCTCTAGACATCCCAACAGTAAGTGTAAAAAGATCTCAAAATAGTCCTTATCCTGATATGACTATAATTCTCGGATTATATAAAGCTTGTCTGGAGACATTATTAACGTACTCTTTTGAGTATTCTTTATCTAGTACTTTTAACCCTGATCCTGTGCTTGAATTTAGTTACGCCTCCTAAGGAGTTTGCCCTCGCCACTGTCTTTCTTTTACATAGTACCTACCTTCCTTATGATGTTGTTTAAAGTTGAGTGAGATTATGATCTGTCAGCTCCTGATGGGAGCATGTGTACTTGCTTGTGGAGACGGCACGCCGTGGTGAAAAGCACCTCAGCTAAAGCGTTAGAAGGCTCTGGGCCAGTGATGGCGAACCTATGACACGCGTGTCAGAGGTGACACTCGAACTCATTTTTTTGGTTGGTTTTTCTTTGTTAAATGGCATTTAAACATATAAAATAAATATAAAAAATATAAGTCTTTGTTTTACTATGGTTGCAAATATCCAAAAATTTCTGTATGTGACACGGCACCAGAGTTAAGTTAGGGTTTTTCAAAATGCTGACACGCCGAGCTCAAAAGGTTCGCCATCACCGCTCTGGGCTCTAGTTGCCAGTGAGACTTGATGAGGTGACGGCCTCTTCCCGAGTCTGTTTCCTGGGCAGCCCGTGTGGGACGATGGAGCCGCATGGGTTCGGGTGCAGACAGACCTGGGTGTGGGCCAGAGACTTGCCCCCCCGGACAAATTTGCTTTAACTGCTGAGCTCAGTTTCCTCATCTGCAAAACGGGGGGAGTGTATCGACCTCATCGGTTTTTGGTAAGAATGACACTTCGAATGAGGCAAGCACGTGCGATACCTTGCACGGTGCCTGGTTCTTAGTGGGGGTCCGTGTATCGGGGTGTGGACGTTGTAGTTGTTATCATCAAGCTTATCTGTGTTACTGTCAGCAGAAGCCCGTGGGAACATGCAGAGGAAGGGGCTTTGTGAAGTGTGGGGGTGTCGGATATTAGCTGTTCTTCCAGGCTGGCAAAATGTGGGGCCGCACTAGTGTTCACAAGAGGCTTTTGTGGATAATTATTCTTACACATTGTCTAATGTCACTCTCCCAAGGTAAAATCTGGCATTACAAAATAGGATTTTTAGGTAATTGCTGAGCATGGAAAACGTTGAGAAGATTTGTGCCATGGTCATTAAAAAGAAATCAAAACCTAACACTTCAGCTAAAACTTAAATTATATCCTTGAAAGGGGTGCCCCCTGCTGGCTTCTTAAAATAGACTCTCTTAATCCTTTCCAAATACTGCTTTAAAACATTTTTTTTATAGAAAACTTTTTTTTTCTATTTAAAATTAAAAAGATATATATCTTTTTTGCTGAAAGTATTATAGATGTCCCCTTTTCTCCTCCGTCAATCCCCCCTCCCTCACCAGCCATTTGTGTATCACCCCCCACTCCCAGGCTTCACCACACCATTGGCTGTGCCCTTGGGTTATGCAGATATGCATATACATTCTTTGGTTTAAACCCCCCCCCCCCCAAGATTGAAGTTTAATTGTTAAACACTTTTGAGGAAAAGGTAGACACGTCCCCTGCTTAAAGCTTTCTTTTATTCTCTCCATTCAAATACTACTTAATCCAGTGAGGCCTTCTCTGACCCAGGCCCTGTCACCCTGGTAGCATTTGATAAAGGTCCGTAATTTAGCTGAGAAATCGCTGTTGAAGTAGGTATGTTTATTTCTTGGCTTTGTTCACATATGGGAAAACAAAATAGAATAACATCATATACCTTTATAAGTTTCTCTCCCATTATAACATGTATTTTAATGTCATTAGTTATTTGTCTAAGGTATTTTTTAAAGATATGCCTCTTTCTTAATATGCTACGAACGCCTGACAATTCATTTACACTCTTCTCTGTTTTGGGATAGTAAAAATGACAAACAATGCAATAATGAACATTTTTGTGTTTAAACTGTTTTCTTTGACCTCTTAGGGCACATTTGTGCAATTAGAATGAGTGGCTAAAAGGCAATAAAATATTTTTGTTAAAATTGCTAAAATGCTCTTTAGGAATATTGTCTCAACATTATCCCCCTTAAGTGTGTATAAAGATGCCCTTTAGCCGTAACCGGTTTGGCTCAGTGGATAGAGCGTCGGGGTAGTAAAAATGACAAACAGTGCAATAATGAACATTGTTGTGTTTAAATCTGTTTTCTTTGACCTCTTAGGGCACATTTGTACAATTAGAATGAGTGGCTAAAAGGCAATAAAATATTTTTGTTAAAATTGCTAAAATGCTCTTTAGGAAGATTGTCTCAACATTATTCCCCGTCAGTGTGTATAAAGATGCCCTTTAGTTAGAACTTTAGCAGTGGGTATTTATCAGATTCGTCAATCAACTTTACTGAAGTATAATTTGCATATAATTATAAAATTCAAATTTATAAATTGTGGTAAAATATACATATAAATTTTACCATTTTAGCTATTTTTTTAGTGTCTTGAAGTATATTCACAGAGTTGTGCAACTCTTACCACTATCAATTTGCCCCTTTAGTTAGCACTTTAGCAGTGGATATTTATCAGATTCGTCAATCAACTTTACTGAAGTATAATTTGCATATAATTATAAAATTCAAATTTATAAATTGTGGTAAAATATACATATAAATTTTACCATTTTAGCTATTTTTTTAGTGTCTTGAAGTATATTCACAGAGTTGTGCAACTCTTACCACTATCAATTTGCAGAACTTTTCCATCATCTCAAACAGAAGCTTTTGTCCATTAAACAATATCTCCCTGTTTCCCCTCCTCCCGGTCCCAGTAACCTCTATTCTACTTTTTGTCTCTCTGATTTTGCCTCTTCTGGGTACCTAGTGTAAGTGGGATCAGACGGTATCTGTCCTATTGTGTTCGGCTTATTTCATTCAGCTTAATATTTTCAAAGTTAATTTATGTTGTAGCATATACCAGAATTTCATTTCTTTTTAAGTTTGAATAAATTCCATGTAAATATTATTCCATGTGAACATTGGTGTACAAGTACCTGTTCAGTCCTTCCTTCCAGTTCTTTGGGGTGTACACTAGGAGCGGAATTGCTGGGTCATATGATAATCCCATGCTCACCTTGAGGACCCATGTTTTCCATAGCAGCACCAGTTGACACTTCCACCAGCTGTACCTGAGGGTTTCTGTTCACATTCTCCCGATTTTCTCTGTTTCTTTTTTCCCTCTGATAGTAGCTATCCTAATGGTGTGAAGTGCTAGTTCATGGTTCTGATTTGCATTTCACTGTGACTAGTAATGGTGACCATCTAGATTTTCATGTGCTCATCGCCATTTGTGTATCTTCTTTGGAGAACGGTCTGTCCCAAGTCCTTTGCCCATTTTCTAATTGGGTTCCTTGTCTTACGTTGATTTGTAGGAGTTCTTGATATATCCTGGATATTAATCCCTTATCAGATATATGATTTACATGGTGGGGCAAAAGTAGGTTTACAGTTGTGAGTACACAAAACAGTTTATTCTTGTATTATTATTTGTTAATTATTGTATTATTTTCCCTGTGAACAACTGTAAACCTACTTTTGCACTGACCTGTATATGTTTAACACTAATAATAAGTAGTATTATTTACTACACACACACACACACACACACACACATATATATACACATATATATGTATATGTGTGTGTATATATATATATATGATCACCCGTCTGCTAAGAGGTAGAACAGAGACCTTTAGCCAAATACCTCTGTGCTCAGAAATAAAAATTACTCTGTCCGTCTCTCTGGTTAAGCCTTTGGAAAATGTTTTCCACTTGCTGTAGGAGCACAAGTTGTTCAGCTTTTACACAGGGGGTGAGCAGGCATGCTTTGCGGTCTCCCGCACGCATTTCTCTGGGCTCTGTACACGGGGGAGTGTTTGCTCACCCTGTCTCACACCGCCTTATCTCCTGTCAATGCTCATCCTTACTTAATGGAACTCTCCCGGGGGCTGGTTTCCTCAGTCCCTGACTCTCCTGCTCACAGACTGTTTTCTCTCCATTTACAGACGGGCCAAGGTCGCTCGCCTGATTGGTTTACTGGCCTCACACACAGCCGAACTTCAAGAACATACACCTGTTATTGAGGTAATTGCTCTTAGTCCTGAAATGTTACGAATGACAGAAGAGAGTGTCCCTCATTTTGTGACTTGGAATACGCAGATTTCATTGCCCTTCACGAAGTTCTCTCCGTGGAATTGTCCCGTTGCTATAAAACGATGACCTCCATAGACCTTCAGGCTCAACACCAGCTGGGCATATAAAACATGTTCTGTAATTGAAGGGGGACGGCAGACTTACGGGTTTGCGGCTCTATCGTCTGTCACTTATGTTTGGAGGAGGCCCCTTTCCCGAGGGAAAGGTTTATGTAGGTAGAGGTTCCGGGGGGTCTGCAGATGAGGACAGAGCCAGGAAGACAGGCCGTCGCCAAGGCTGGAGCCGGGAGGCCGCCCACTCCCACTGTGGGGTCCTTGTGCCTGGAGACAGTGTGGGCTGCTGCCGTGGGAACTCCTGCAGGTCTGGGCAGAGGGCATCTGCAGTCACCGGGCCTGACAGTCGCCCTGGGTGATGTGCCTGTGGCCTGATCCCCCGCAACTGCTGCTGCTGCTGCCACCGAGAGCATTGGCCTGGCAGTTCTTGAACCGCCCTTGTCCTTGTGCCCTGGGCTAGTACTTCCTGCTCCTCCGACTGGGCACCTCTCAGAGTATCTCCCACCTCCTGTTGCTGCCCCTTATTAATCACTGCATTCCGGATGTGGCCTCGGGTGAGGAGGGGCGGCGTCCATTCCTGAGCCTCTTGTATCCTGCGTTCCTGCACTGTCCCCTTTAGGACGTTTGCCCAAGTGACGCTCGGGAAAAGTCATTTAAAAAGGCACGATAGTGTATATTTGGCCGTCTGGACACGTTTTGAATTAAGCACACTATGTTGTGAACTAAGTCCTGTCGGACAATGCGGAGCTGGGTGTTCCCTGTGATGCCATCTTTACTCAACGGGCTGTGATAATGGAAGCAGCCACTAGAGGTCACCCAAACACTGGGAACGAAGTTTCGCAAGTTCAAGAATTTATCCTTCAACTTCAGGAAGAAGCAGGCTTAGCAGATAGAGCTTTTTTGTTTTAATCTTTTCCCTGTCCCTGCCATTCCCCCTTCCCTCAGCACCAGAGCAGCCTCACAGCCTGGGACTCCCTGGGGCCCAGGCCCTCATTCACAGTGACGGTTCTAGCCAGCCTCCCGGTTGCACTGGAGATGTGATGGGGGTGTTTCTTTCTCCCTCTCCTCCCTCTCCTCCCTCTCCTCCTCCCTCCTCCCTTCTCCTACTTTCTCCTCCTCCTCCTTTTTCCTTCTCCTTTTGAGTTTCCACCGTGTGAAATGAAGTTGCATTCCATTGGTGATGAAGACCATAGGAGATGAATGAAAGCCAGCACAGCCTCTCCAGCAAAGTGCAGTCAGCACCTTGCCCGTGACCCAGGGGGTGGGGCCCCCCAGGAAGCCGGCGGCGAGCCTTAGTGCAGGGCTCCTTTGACAGGTTTCTGTGAAACTCCCAGTTGGGTGCTTGTAGATCGTTTTTCAGTAAATTATTAATAAAATTTCAGGTATGAGATACATTCTGATTTCTCCAGTAGGTTTACTGTTAGCAGATACTAAAAACTGTGGTTGAAGATTCTATAGACCTTTTAACGGTATAAAACCTCATTTTATTATTCATCTTTGTTTCCCACAGTCCCTAGCAGCAAGGTAACATGTATTTCAGGCACTTAGTCAATGTCAGAAGATTTAATAAATGATTAAAACAATGGTAGGAACATATGCTGGTGTGATTTGTTACAAAGAGGCAGAAGAGATCGGGGGACATCTGTTGTACTATCCTTAGGATGTAGTTTAAATCTCTTTCATCTCATTCTGTCGTTATTGGCTACAGAAAAGAGCTGAGCATCACCTCTTGTATGTATTTAGAAGCGTTTATTCAATTCTTCATTTTTTTTTCATAGAAAAATATGGCCTGATTCTTAGGCTTTTTCTACTAGATCACGCATTTACCACCCAGTGATCACTGGGGTTCCTGTGTGTAGTAACTTTTAGGAAATAGTCCTGGCATTTTGATACATATTTGTAGTATCAAGCATGCAGTGGATGTAGTTTAGGAAGTTGATTATAGAACCCTAAAATTTAGAACTGGATGGAATATTAACAGGTGTACTAGTTTGACCCCTTCATTAAATGTTTTCATTATGGAAAATTTCAACATACATAAAGGTAGAGAGATTGGAATATGAGACATCACTCATTTCCAGGAATTATTAGCACTTTGCCAACCTTATTTGTCTGTCATCTCTTGCCCTCTTCTTTCCCATCTTGTTCCCTCTCCCCTCTCCTTCCTTTCTCGTCCCTCCTCTCCTTCTCTCACTATAGTATTTATTTTTTAAAAATTCCAGCCAACCACACCAGTTTCATTCCTGGTCAGGGCACATGCCCGGGTTGTGGGCTTAATCTTAACAGGGGCTGTGCAGGAGGCAGCCGATCGATGACTCCCTCTCATCACTGATGTTTCTATTTCTCCTTCTCTTCTCCTCTCTGAAATCAATAAAAACACATTTTAAAAAGTAAAAAAAAAAAAAAAAAGACATTTTACTCATAAATACTTCAGTATGTGTATCTAGCAGAAAAGGATTTAAAAAAATATAACCACAATACCACTATCACACCTAAGGCCACAAAAAGTTTCTAAAATTCTTGTGGTGTTAGATTTTATAATTAGGCTGACGATTCATTTTGAGTTAACTTTGCATAGGGTGTTAGGTGTAGACAGAGGTTTATTTATTTATTTGCATCTAGGCAACAAATATTTAAAGAGCACGTTCTTTGAGCCAAGTAATGGGATAGGCGCTGGAGGCACAGTGATGTGCGAAACAGGTGTGGTCTCTTCCTCCTGGAGTTTATAACGGACAGCGGACATTACACAGAGAGAGAGGGGACCAGTGACGTGGGAACACAGGGGAGTTGCTTTAGTGGAAGGAAGAGGGGATCCTGTGCTATGGAGGAGGAAATGGTCATTTTAAAAAATTGTTTTTGAGAGTTAGGTTAAGTTGAAAACGGACATTTGGATTGGGTTTGGCAAGATGAGTGTGGGACAATGAGGGTTTTGGTGACTCGTGCTGTAGAAACCAGATTGGAGAGGCTGTATAGGAAACCAGGGGTGAGCAGGTGAAGATGTATCTAGGTCAGGAAGTCTGGCTGTGAGTGTGAGGCACATTTAAATGCTAACGAAAAAGAGCCACTGCAGAGGGAGGCATCGAGGATAGAGGCGAGACATGGGCCACTGGAGGTGTGTGGTGGGTAGAAGGGAATGACCTTAGACCAGGGTTGGAGGCACAGTCATGAGCGAAACAGGTGTGGTCTCTTCCTCCTGGAGTTTCTAACGGACAGCGGACATTACACAGAGGTGAGGAGGAAATACCAGAGTCTGGGGAACAGTGAGGTGGGAAGAAACACAGGGGAGTTGCTTTAGTGGAAGGAAGAGGGGATCCTGTGCTATGGAGGAGGAAATGGTCATTTTAAAAAATTGTTTTTGAGAGTTAGGTTAAGTTGAAAACGGACATTTGGATTGGGTTTGGCAAAACGAGTGTGGGACAATGAGGGTTTTGGTGACTCGTGCTGTAGAAACCAGATTGGAGAGGCTGTATAGGAAACCAGGGGTGAGCAGGTGAAGATGTGTCTAGGTCAGGAAGTCTGGCTGTGAGTGTGAGGCACATTTAAATGCTAACGAAAAAGAGCCACTGCAGAGGGAGGCATCGAGGATAGAGGCGAGACATGGGCCACTGGAGGTGTGTGGTGGGTAGAAGGGAATGACCTTAGACCAGGGAGGGGCCACTTCTCCTGCTGTAACAGGAAGAGAAGGTGAGTAAAGGTAGATGTAGTGGGAGCAAGGCTTGGTGGTGGGAGGATGAGGGAGCTTGTCATCACAGAGAATGGGAGTGCTGCCATAGGGTTTCATAGGAACCAAGGCTGTGATTAAGAATTTAAGGTGGAAGAAGCCAATTTGCCCAGGTGTGGGGTGGTCTCCAGAAGATGTTTGGGTTCCAGTCCAGGGAGGGCTTGAGTCCGTGGAAAGGCGGGAGTGGCTACTTCCAAACGCTCTCTGGTACAGCCCAGGGTTTGCGTCTTACCCCCAGAGCCCAGGCTGGGTGGGAGAGAAGGCGGTGGGCTTGGCTTCAGTGGTCTTGAGTTTAAAAACTTATTAGCTGAAAGGCTCTGGTTAAGGCTCTTGAAAAGATGTGCGTGCAGGGGTGAGAGTGTTTGAAGTTGAGAGGTGTTGGCGGCACTGTCAGGGCCCCTGTGTCTGTGGGTGCGTCCTCACTCCTGCAAACACTCCCACACTCTGGCTTCCCCAAGGACCTGTGATTCGGGGTCGCACAGGTCACATGACACTACCTTCCCCGCAGTGCCCTGGGCTACTGACCCCCTGCTCACTCTCCTTGTCCACTGAGGACGCGGCTCCTTGCTCACCACCTTCCTTTTCATCTGCACTGCATTCATTAGTTGCTTCATTGATGCATTCATTAGTTGCTTCTTGTATGTGCCCTGAGCAGAGATCAAACCTATAGCCTTGGTGTAGCTCTAACCAGCTGAGCTACTGGGCCAGGGCCGACACTGTGACCATGTCTGGCTTATTCATAGCCCTGAGCTGAGACTGATGTCATTTAAAGAAACAATATTTTAAAATTAATTTCAGAGAGGAAAGGAGAGAGAGAGAGAGATAGAAACATCAATGATGAGATAGAATCTTTGATTGGCTCCCTCCTGTACGCCCCACACCGGAGATCAATCGAGCTCACAACCTAGGCATGTGCCCTGACTGGGAATCGAACCATGACCTCCTGGTTCAAAGGTCAACGCTCAACCACTGAGCCACGCCGGCTGGGCCCGGTGTCATTTATAATCTTCCACACTGTTAGTGTCGGTGAATCTGCCCTTGTGTCTCCCTGCTAAACAAACTTGTGTTTTGGTTAGTTCTTGGACAGCACAAGAGGCAAATGTGTTGAACAGGATGAAATGAGTTGTATAACATTCAGGCCTCTGTGTAGAGCGAATATTCAGCCAGGATGCCGAGTGGATATCATTTGGGGCATTGCCATATTTTAATCACTTTTGCATACAAATGAAACATCTCACCTCAAAGAATTCTTCAACGGCATGCTTCCTAATTTTTTATAATGATGGAATTCATTGACTTTCTTACCTGACATCTTGTAGAGCAGTTTTTACCTTTTGTGTTTCTTGCTTTGACTAATTTGCCTGCTCGTTTTACCCGAGCTGTGAACACACCTTTGTTGCAATATTTTCAGAGCAGCAGCTGTGGGGCTTATACATTGGAATGTGATGTGTTTAGTAATCCTTGCGAACCCAGCAAATGCCACATTTAATTTTCTATTAGATGAAAGAAACACAGAAGGAGACTTGGTGGTGGAAAGAATTGCACAAACATAACTAATCAGAGCTGATCCCTGAAGCAGAAAAATGCAATTTAAAATGAGCTTCCTTTGTATTTCTGTTATTTGAGGAGTGTTGAAGAGATGACTATTAAGAATATAGTAGCAAGTAAGTAATAGTTATAAATAGAAAGCTCAAACAGTATTGGGGTTATGTTCTTTGTGTCATAACTTTGACATATCCCAACATCGAAAAGACTCAGTTTTCATAAAGGACAATGTGATTTGGTTTCTTAAGAAAACATGTAGCCCAGCCACGGTGGCTCAATGGTTGAGCATTGACTTATGAGCCAGGAGTTCACGGTTTGATTCCAGGTCAGGGCATATGCCCAGCTTGTGGGCTCAATCCTCTGTCGTGCCAGAGAAACCTGATCAATGATTCTCTCTCATCATTGATGTTTCTATCTCTCTCTCCCTCTCTGAAATCTATAAAAATATATTTTTAATAAAAAAGAAAACTTTGTGCAATGGGCATAATTGTGTTATTCCAAAAAATAAAAATGTCATTTAGCCCTAGCTGGTTTGGCTCAGTGGATGGAGCCTCGGCCTTCGGACTGAAGGGTCCTGGGTTCAATTCCAGTCAAGGGCACATGCCTAGGTTTTGGGCTCCATTCCCCGAAGGGGGCATGCAGGAGGCAGTTGGTCAATGATTCTCTCTCATCATTGATGTTTCTATCTCTCCCTCCCCCTTCCTCTGAAACCAATAAAAAAATATATATGTAAAAGTCATTTAAAAACCCTCAATATACAGGATGGGGCAAAAGTAGGTTTATAGTTGTGAGTGTATGAAAGTTTATTCTTGTATTATTATTTACTAGAGGCCCAGTGCATGAAATTCATGCACGGGGGTGGTGTGTGTCCCTCAGCCCAGCCTGAATCCTCTTGCAGTCCGGGACTCCTAAGGGGATGTCCGCCTGCTGGCTTAGGCTTGATCCTTGATCTCTCTGGGGATCGAGCCTAAGCCAGCAGTCAGACATCCCTCTCGCAGTCCAGGATTCTTGCAGTCCAAGACTCCTCTCTCTGTACTGCCTGTCTGCAGTGGAGGCGGGAGAGGCTCCCTCCACTGCCATTGCACTCGCCAGCTGTGAGCCTGGCTTTTGGCTGAGCAGTGCTTCCCCTGTGGGAGCACACTGACCACCAGGGGGCACTCCTGTGTTGAGCCTCTGCCCCTGGTGGTCATTGTGCATCATAGCAACTGGTTGTTCTGCTGGTCGTTCCACCGTTTGGTTGATTTGCATGTTAGGGTTTTATTATATAGGATTAATTATTGTATTATTTTGCATATGGACAACTGTAAACCTACTTTTGTCCCACCCAGCATGTAAATGAAATCCCTGCCCGTAGGTGCAGAAGGGAGGACCTTCGGGAGAGTGTGGAAGCACCGGCATGTATGTCTGGCACCCGATTGATGAGTCTCTTTCACCATTGATGTTCCTATTTCTCTCCCACTCCCTTCCTCTCTCTGAATCTATAAAAACATATTAAAAAATAAACCCCCCTCCCCCAATATCCATATATTACTTGGATTTCTGAAGCTGAAGAAGAGCTTAGCAAATCTATTTTACCTTTTTTGTTCTGTTTAGTAATGGCATTTTAAATGCCAGTCTGCCTAGGTCATCAAACACTTATTTTTCTCCATGGTATTTGTCATTCATACGGTATGTTTGTTCACTATTCTTATAGTGTTCCGTTTTACTAGTAAATTTTCTTTAAAGTTTTACAATAACAAGGGGGAGACTATCCAAACAACACTGCAGGGAAACACCGTCTGCCGCGTACCGTTCACCGCCCTCCAAAGCTGACGTAGGCAGCGCCGTGTCAGGCTGCCGTGGGGTTACTAGCATGTCTGTCTGCGCTGTCCTGTCGTGCTGGAGGCAGTTCAGACAGTTTCATCTCTCCCAGGATCTGCAGCATTCAGGTGTTTTAATTTCCAGTGATGCTTACTGACCCAGAGTGCCCGTGGGCTATAAGGTTGAGAAAAGCTGCGAGTCCCTGTCCCTAGCTTCTCGAAGCAGCGAGCTGGGTATGGGTTTTGAATTTAGCGTGAGGTTGACTTAAAAAAAAAAATTAAACCTTTTATTTTGAGATAATTAATAGATTCATATGAGGTTGTAAGAAATAATCCAGAGAGATCCTGGGTACGCTTCATCCATTTTCCCCAGAGGTTGCATCTTGGAGAACTAGAGTAGAATATTACTGCAGGATATGGACATCAGAGCAGTTAGGGAACAGTTTCAACACCCCAAGGACCCCTCAGACTGCCCCTTTTTAACCACGCCCACTGCCCTCTGTCACGTGTCCTCCCCTAACCCCTACCCCTGGCAGCCACTAACCTGTTTGCTATTTCTATACGCTTGTCATTTTGAGAATGTTGTATAAATGGAATCATACGGTATGTAACCTGTTGTGATTGGCTTTTTTTCATGTTTAGCATATTTCTCTGAAGATTCATCCAGAGAAAGGAGCCAGAAAAAGGAATATGTAGGATGCGATCCCATTTACATAAACTCTAGAAAATGTGGATTAATGACAGAAGGTGCACTGGTGGCTGTCTCGGGAGGAGGAAGGAGTAGGATGGAGGGATTAGTTACCAAAGGAACCGGAGGGAACACTCCGGGGTTTCATGTTTAGCATATTCCTCTGAAGATTCATCCAGAGAAAGGAGCCAGAAAAAGGAATATGTAGTATGCGATCCCATTTACATAAACTCTAGAAAATGTGGATTAATGACAGAAGGTGCACTGGTGGCTGTCTCGGGAGGAGGAAGGAGTAGGATGGAGGGATTAGTTACCAAAGGAACCGGAGGGAACACTCCGGGGTGTTGCCGTTTTGATCAGGGCTGCAGGTGATGACGTCACAGATGGTTACCTGTGTTGATTGCATCTAAGTGTGCACTTTACATAGATGTGGTTTACGGCATGTCAGTTGTAACTTAACAAAACCGTTTATAAAAAAAGGGGCTGCGGGTGATGACGTCACAGATGGTTACCTTTACATAGATGCGGTTTACGGTATGTCAGTTGTAACTTAACAAAACCGTTTATAAAAAAATACCACACCCACAGTGTCCTCCAGTACCTGACTACTGACTGAGCTCACCCCACACGGACACCACTCCTCCGGGTTCTTGTTTACAAAAGGGCCAGAGATCATGTGCCGGGATAGTGTCACTTTGTCAAGTGGTTCTGGAAGCTTTCAAATGCCTCCTTTCAGTGTCTGTGCTGCCGTCTTTGCCGACGGTGAGTAGTCTTGTCTGTGCGCCACACTCGGAGCCACGTTGACCTGGAGCAGGTTTCCGCACTGTCTTACCTGCTCCGAGCTCCCTCTCAGGATGGGGCTGGGATTCCCGTGCCATTGGAAACCTTCCTCCCCGCTCCCTGGTCACCATGTGATCCCACTCACCCGTGTTCCCGTGAGTGCATTCTGGTGACGAGGGGCTGGGACTGTCTTAGCATCGCTCCCAGGAAGTTAACTACGTTCGATACATGCTGCTGAGGGTCAACGTGGATCGTATTGAAGCTTTGGGAAAATATTTCTACTCTCAGGTTTTTGAAGGAATCATTTAAAAGTGTAATGCAATGTGAGAGTTTTTAAACCGGGGCGTGCTGGGCGTGCTGGGGACCTGGCACGGTAGGCGCTGGTGCCCACCCTGGCTGTCCGGGGAGCTGGCGGACACTTGCTGGACCCTTCCCCTGAGTCCCCGGCTCTACAGTGAGCACAGCACTTGCCTCGCCGGGTCAGTGACGCGGCGAAAATGCTTGGTAGCTGACCGGTGCCTTCCTGACCGGAGTGCGTTTTCCCGGAGGTGTTTTTACTGTCATCGGGGACAGTTACTATTTTTTCTTTCTTTCAGGAATAAGGCCCATATTTTGAAAATCATTTGGAAACTGCTTCTTCTGGAGAGAGTCTTGCCTTTTACATACAGGTGAGAGAACAGAGATACATATCAAATAATATACTTTTTTTTTTCTCCTTTCAGGCAATTACTCTCTTAACTGAATTAATTAGGGAAAACTTCAGGAACAGCAAATTAAAACAGTGCCTGTTGCCAGCCCTTGGGGAGCTGCTGTATCTGGTGGCCACCCAGGTGAGCCTGTCTGATTGAGATGAGCCCTGCTGCGCGTGGACGTGCTCTGACATATCCCGGCCGGCGAGTATTAATAGCCCGTGAAAGTTCCCTGACTCTGCCGCTGAGAGCTCGCCCCGGGAGCTCAGGAGAGATGCTGCTCTGGAGGAGAGAGGCTGTCGGTCTCTCCCTGTCTGTCTGGCTGTCATCTTTCCTCCCCTTTTTTGCTTTAGAGCAGCAATTTTCAGCCGGTGTGCCGCAATATTCCCGTTGTTTCTAAAAGTAGATGTCGAGAATCGCTTTCCTTGGCGCTTACTCTACTTGGATGGAAGCTAGGCTGTTTTAATGAAGCCCATGTCTGTGGCCATGACAGGCGACAGCATCTTACGATAGCCAACCTGACGAGGGGATTCTGCCCCCGGGTCCACGAAAACCCGTACGTTTTCAGGAGCTGAGGGCTTTTGTGGGCCCGTCACTTTGAATATACGTCAACCGTAAAATCTCAAGTCCGTGCTGACCGAGGAGAGGCTGGCCCGGAGTGATGGTGCACACTGTGTAACAGAGACCCAGTCCGCCTGCGGGCGCTCTGCTCACACCCAGGGTACCAGGAGGGCGGAAGGCGGAGTGGGACTCTGCAGAGGACGTTACAGAGCAACGCAGCTGCAGTTTGTGTGGCTTTTGTCCTTTCTTCTGTCGGGGATGCCTCCCGCCCTAGTCCAGGTGTTCTCACTTTTGCGTTTTTTTGGGTTCAGCCCATAATCATCTCTCACCTGGCCTGTTGTCAGAACTCCCAGTCTCCTGGCTTTGCTCTTGTGTTGGTAAAAGTGTGTTTTCCAGACATCAGCCATGGCGAGCCTGTTACACACACGAGAGGCGGCAGGTGTCGCCCCTCAGAGGCCCTGTGCCTCTCGTGTTGCTCACGGTCATCAGTCCCTCCAGTTGCTTCTAGGCCCCCGTGCCTACCTAACCTCAGCCTCCCTCGCTCCCACTCGCTCACTCCCTCCGCCACGCTGACCTCCCCCCGCTCCTCGCACGCACCCACTGTGCCTGCTCCTGCCTGCACACCTCCCTCCGCCCCTGCGCTTCCTCCTGCTCGCGGGGTTTCCCAGGTGTCTGCGTGTTCTCCCCGTGCATGGGTCTCTTTAGAGACCTGGCAATAAGCCATGTGAGATGGAGCCATCTGTCTAGTCCAGAGGTGGGCAAACTTTTTGACTCGAGGGCCACAATGGGTTCTTAAACTGGACCGGAGGGCCGGAACAAAAGCATGGATGGAGTGTTTGTGTGAACTAATATAAATTCAAAGTAAACATCATTACATAAAAGGGT